CACAGTATTTATATTATCAACACATATATCCCTCTCATGGACAGGGTTAACAGTATGGTCATGTCTGAGAAGCTAAAACGCACCCTGGTGGAGGAGCTGAAACTCACAGCAGCAAATCTATAAGAAAAAGTCAACTGGTATGGACACGAAAAACCAGGCTGAATCGTTCCTTGTTATTCTAGATAGTGGCTAAATACCAACTTATGTCACAATATAAATATAATACATGTAATAGTTCAAATAGGAGAAGTAGAACCCCCCAGTGAGAATCTATTTTTATAGTCTGCGCGTGCGCAGTGTGAGTTTGGCTGAGTTGCGCATGCGTATTTACTACCAAAGTAATGGCGGTTCGAATATTTCGAAGCGTGAAAATATCAAACTTTGGAGGGATTTTTCTCCCAATTGTGCACCTGTTTCACTTGGGGAGCAACGGATTCTGATAAAGTAAGTTTTTATCTATTTATTTATGCGAAAATTACGTAGTTCCACGAGGGGTGCAACGGAATTGCATCTTTTGGATGCTCATCCCACGGCCTAATACCCACATATGAGAAAATCTTCTGACGGTGAAATATCAATATCTAAAACTGCGTTTCCAGTTAAAATACGACCCATCAAAGCATTTTCAATAGTTTCTGGATGAAAGTATGTCATCATTTTCATTTGCAACATGCTGCAAAAATGATTGTGCAGCATTTTTCAAAATGTATGTAAACTTTCTTATTATAGAGATGAGCGTTCTTACGGTAGTCTGCGTTTCCTCGCATATTTAGCTGTTGTGCATATTGTAGTTTTCTAGCCTAGAAAGATTGCTTAATGTTGTATAAATATCACTACAAACACTCGCATGCACGATTTCTAAGTCAGTGACGCGATTTATCAATTTCGTCAGAGAATGCATGTCTTTTATTTCCGCCTCTAATATATGTTGTATTCCGTAGTGCAATGTATAGACGATAGCATGGTTAAATGTTAAGCTTACTTCGTTTTGCTTTAATGTTTCCATTTGAAAAACGCAAATATCAGCGAGCGTTTTATGGCCATATTTCTCTTTGATTGTAAAACGATGATTAGGTTTCACCAGCCAATCTTTTACTGATTTGTGAGAAAACGACACACAATCATCCTTGATGAAAAGGAGTGAAGAAATGCAACTAATTAATTTTGATAACGTTCTTTCTGCACTTAACGAATCTCTTTCAGAGCTAAGTAATCTTTTAATAATTGATGATGGAAGAGGTTGTTTTGCAACTGCTAGCACACTCAAGAGTGATAAAAATTTTTCTTCTTCAATGCCTAAAATTTTAAGTTCGTTTTCCAAGCGAACAAAATACGTTTCATAGATTACTTCAATACCTTCGGGTAAGCTTTCAATACTTGATTTGATGGAGCCATCTTTAGAAAGTTTACAAAGAAAAGATGCATAGAGCATCAGACCTTCAGACTGTTTAACTAAATTTTTGACAAGCTCTTCTTGTGAAGGGTGCCGCATTGTAGTCGATAACTTGTCCACAAAAAACAGTCGAAGATCGCTTAAATTCCGTTTATCTTCTGGCACTAGAAACATTCGATTTAATCCCCGAAATTTAAGGGCAATATCTTTTTCTGATCGCGTTGTGGTTAAAAATCGAATAAATCTGGGAAATTTGTGAAAATGTCTGGTAATCAAATCAACAAATTCGTACCTTTCTTCCTGCTGGCATTCATCTAGCGCATCTATTGCGATGAGAAAATGCTTACCTGGATCGGGAATGTTTGTTAATGGTTCCTTGAAGAGCATTCTAAACAATCCTTCGATATTCAGTTCGTCCAATATTTGTCCTTTACTACTAGAAAGTTTACAGCTAAGGTTTTTCTTATATTCTGGAACGACATGACACAACTGCCATGCCAAAGACTGAAGGAGAAACTTTGGATTATTGTGCCTGCTATCATTATGTTGGAAAAAATGACAACCTGCAAAATTTTCTGGGAACGTTTACATGTAACCGCAGCGATAATAGACTTACCCATTCCAGCCTGACCAGGAATAATGAATGCACGATTATCAGAAGCAGCGTCATTTAGCCACGTTGATACCTGTTGAAAAACCCACTCACTTCAGTGTATTGTTCGAGCAACAATTACATCTCTTTGTAAAAGTCACACCAGTGAAGGCTATTACTATACAAATGTCATCGAAGGACGATTTAACTTGGTTTGAAGATTCATACGAACGCTCATGAACTTCAAGACGTTTTTCAAGTCCATCAAGTTTTGACACAATTTTTCTTTCACTTTCATGGATAATTTTTTCAAATCCGTCCAGTTTTTTTCACTACTTCTCTCTCGCTTTCATTCCATTCTGTTCTCACACGATTCACTTCCTCTTCTCCACATTCTTCAGCCTTAAGCCTGTTTATTTCGGGTTGATTTATACCCAAACTGCGTAAAGCCGAACCAACCTCTATCCAATGAGCCTCAAAATCTAACCTATTAACATCTGTGCCAGGGACATGACCAACTAAATTATTGCGAAATAGCCTAATACGAACAATGTTCGCTTCACGAGAATTGTCAGTGGAACCTGGCATAACATTCCACCCTGTACTAGAAGGAGACAAGCCACAGATGTTTCTTAACAGGATAACAAGTAATGTTATATAAAATTCTTGAATATTTGGAATCCCAGGGGGAGGGGGAAACAATTTATCCCATTGTAGTTGCGTGATTATTTTCTTAGTCTTAAACAGTGGATAAAGTATAGAATAATGAGTATACAAAACGGCATGCAAATTTCTTGGATGTATGCTTATAAGAAGATGTTCCTCAATACCTCTGTTCCTCCATCAACAATTAACCTCATCAACTTAAAGCCATTGATCTTTTCTTCAGAACTCTCAAGAACTGACATGATTACGGTATCTATAATTATTAGAAAAGGAATAAAATGTAAACAAAAGCCAGAATGTAAAGAAAAGGAGTTGAAGTTTAGCCAAACATTTCTCCGTCAGATTTGCTTTCTTAGCTTAGATTTTAAAAAAAATGTAGACAAAAGCTATGCAGAATGTAAAAAAGAGGAGTTCTTGCTGTTTATAATTTATATATCATCGCACAGCCGAATTGCGCCTAGTTCACTGTCAGTTGAATGATAACTTGTAACTGAGAGATATAAATTTTACGTATCAAAGTATTGCAGTTGAATACTTGATATGCATATTTTAATCTTCCAATCTTAGCTACAGTACATGCTATCATTCAACTGCAATTTTATCCCGACGCAGAACGCGTTACTTGGATGCGCAGTCGACATTATGATTTGGCTTATATCCTGTCTACAGTGAGTCTTTATTAGATAATTACTGAGGCGAACGGCATTACTGGATATATTGCAGCCAGCTGAGGCCGAAGGCCGAAGCTGGCTGCAATATATCCAAAAATGCCAGTTGGCCGAAGTAATTATCTATTATAATTACTAACCCTCATCGAACCTATTGTTTTCTCCTTGCATTATATCAGCGAATGTCGAGAACTTTTAGCGTTCTTCTGAAAAACGGGAGCGGTCTTTTTTGATTGTAGGGAAATTCACAGGGGTAAATGTTTATATATACGGGCTAAAATAGCACACAGCATTATTAAAAATAATGCAGCGTCCACACAGCATTATTAAAAATAATGCAGCGCGCACACAGCATTATTAAAAATAATGCAGCCTGCAGTCACATGACATTATTGGCAATAATGCATCTTCGTCAAATTGTCATGTACACGCGGATAACGTGAACATCTCAAGATGAGAAGGTGACAGTGCTAAAGGCCCCTCATACAATATCATCGGGCGCCTGAAGCACTGCCAAGTGAGCCTCTTTCAGTTCAATTTTATAGAGAAATAGTTTCGTTGGCGCTTGTGAGATTTTATCCTAGATATACGCATGTGCAGAACACACCATAAGTTCAATTCCCGTGTTTATCCAGTTTAATACGCTCTTTGAATTAACCTTATCATTAATGATAATATGTAAACTAGAACACTATAATTGACCTCCGCTTATGGAGATTTTAATTTAGGGCGATTAATTAAACTCTGCCATGGTGCACGTGATGTCTATATGCATGTCCTCACAAATGTCTAGTGTAACGTTGGATAAAGTCAGGTAGTTTCTAAAACATATAAACGTTGCGAAATCTACTGGTCTGGACAATCTTCCGGGTAAACTATTAAAAATTGCAGCCGATATTTTAGCACCTTCCTTAACCAAACTATTCAACAAATCACTATCCACGGGCATCTATCCTTAGTGATTGGAAATTGGCCAGGGTTGTTACTATGTTTAAAAATGGTGACAAATCAGATTTGAATAATTATCGTCCAATCACCATAATCTCAAGTGTTGCAAAAGTTTTCGAAAAAATCGTATATGATCAATTTTACGAGTACTTGTCAGTGATTGATCTATTCTCGCATCAACAATCGGGATTTCGACCTACTTACAGCACTGTAACGGCTCTACTCGAATCGACTAATGTCTGGTGCGTAAATATCGATAATGGTCTGGTAAATGGAGTTATTTTCATTGACCTAAAAAAGGCTTTTGATACTATTGATCACGAAATTCTCATAAATAAACTTGAATGCTATGGAGTTGATTGCAGTGCTCTAGGCTGGTTTAAATCTTATCTGTCTGATCGTAAGCAAAGGTACTTCGTGAATGATACACTATCCAGTAGCCGTTCTTATACTTATGGTGTTCCGCAAGGGTCAATAATTGGACCTCTCTTGTTTCTGGTCTATATTAATGATTTGCCAAATTGTATGAATGACGGTTTAGCAAGAATGTATGCCGATGATACTAACATAACTTTTCACAGCCATGATCTTTCTGAGTTGGAAGACGCAATGAATGCGGAATTGATCAACCTAAATACCTGGCTACAATCCAATAAATTAAGTCTTAATATTGCAAAAACCGAACTTATGGTCATTGGCTCCCGTCAGAGACTTGCAACCTTCAGTGAAACCAACGATTTAAATGTCTTTGTAGACAACGAAAAGAGTTCAATCTACAAAGTCATTAGGTCTAACAATCGACGAGCACTTAACTTTGAAAAACCATATCAATAATATTACCAAAAAAATTTCGTCCGGTATTAGTGCTCTTAAGCTCGTAAGACCTTTCATCAATAGAGAAACGGCTGTGAAGGCATACAGGGGCCTGGTGGAGCCCTATTTTACATATTGCTCTCCAGTTTGGGATGGTATTGGTGTAAAACTGGGTGAGAAACTACAAAAGCTGCAAAATCGTGCGGCTAAGGTAATGACCAGGTCCTCGTATGAGGTTTCGTTAGCATCCCTACTTTCTGAGTTGGGATGGAGTGTTTTGGCAAAAAATCGCATGAAGCAAAAAGCTATCCTAATGTACAAAGTTAATAATAATTGTGCTCCTCAATACTTGCAGCAGTTATTTACACCCAAAGTGAGCAATTATGATCTGAGAAATTCTCTAAATAAATTGTCTGTTCCAAAACCTCGAACAGACTATTTAAAACGTTCTTTCAGCTAGAGTGGTGCTTCCCTGTGGAACAGCTTGTCAGAACAGCTCAGATCAGCCCCTTCTCTCAATTCATTCAAAGTCGAATTGACTAATTTCTTATAGTATACTGAGTATATGGACTCTTGCACGGCAATCATGTAAAACAGTAATTATTATTTTTATCTTTTGACTAACATTGTATATTTTTAAATTTGTGTATTTTATTCTTGTACTGATAATTCTTCCGTGTTGAAATAAAGTGTATGTATGTATGTATGTATGTATGTATGTATGTATGTATGTATGTATGTATGTATGTATGGATAGGTTCATTGTCATACGGTCCCAACAAGCAGCAACGTAGTCTTCCAGCCGAAAATAATTACTTTTGATTCGAGTCAGTAATTATATTCATATAACTGGATAATTGTAGATAGAGCTGCTGATGAATTCAAGTTGAATCACTCTCTTTGGTGGTTTATCTCGAATTCCGGATAAAATGTTTTGAAATTTAGTGAATTTCATGTTCACATGTTAGAATATTCGCGTGTCCGTGTGTACATGTCCGCAAATCCGCGTTTTCCACCTAACCCTACGAATAGGGGCGGAGCGAAGACTATCCTTTTCGGGGGGTGCAAGACAACTTTTTGTCGACAAAAGGGCGTGGCTAGCGCGCGGTTAGGGCGTGGTCAAAGCAAACCGTATTGCAAACCGTATAATGATTGTAAGTAATATACAATCATTAACACCTTGTATTTATTTTAATTTATTTTTAAAATAGGCGAAATAGTTCCGAAAAAAATCGAAAAAGCACATCCATTCGTCATCAAACGACCGATTGCAAACTAAACATGTCAGTTTCTCTCTCTTCCGTTTGCGTTTTTGCTTGCTACTGTCCATACTTTTAAATCATCTCCGTATTTCTCATTGTCTAAAAGACCATTAGGCTTTACAAGACTATGAAATGAAGACTGCTGGCTTTACAAGATTATGAAATGAAGCCCAGACGCATCAACAGTCAACACGCACATGTGCTTCGAATTTCCTAGCTACAGTATGTATACTTCACAAAATTGCAAGAAAATATAATACTATTAAATAGCGTATTAGCGTAATAACTTCTTGGCCAATTTAGCTGAGTGTTCGGAAAAGCTTTCAGTCGACATATCCATCTTTTCGATCTCGCATTTTCTACAATCTCTCTCCCCCCCCCCCCCGCCCTTAGCTACGCCCTTGTCTACGAATGTTTGTTTTCGTCTATTAGCTATAGTATTTACTAGCCAAACTCTGCTGCCTTTGCCAGGTAACAAGTGGGTCAAATTTGAAGCGCAAATGCGGGTCGCATGTAAACATGTTGACAATTTCAATTTTGACTAATTAGCTGTCACTGTCTGTCACCCACAAACCGAAACTAATTCAGTGAAACAGAATTGACCTTGTCTGCGAATGATGGCATTGTTTCAGATAAAATTTTGTTCTTCAGGTTTATCCAATCTCTTCTTCGTAATGTTGTGTTTTCTAAGGCCTGTTTTAAGCCCGTTCTCCACTAGGCGAATTTGTTCGCGTGAACAGTGAAAAAGAAGGAACTGATCGAACTTTTTCGCGGCGAATTTTTTCGCTGACCAATTACGTTGCCATGATTTGTTTTTCGCGTCGCGCAAAAAAATTCGCCTAGTGGAGAACGTGCTTTATACGTCGAATGGTTTATCATCTCATTATCTATTGTTTTAATTGCATTCGACGCGACCAAAATTCGACGTATAAAACAGGCCTTAGTTTAGATTTTAAACTTCTAAATGTGCGCATTCGAGCATTTACTAATTCCGGTTTTATATTGGCCATTGTATCATGATTTCATGAACAATATCTGGCTTTGCTCATTATTTTTTCACATATTCGAAAGTATTTGTAAACTTTTATCATATTTAAGTTCATTGTATATTGATCATGGGTTTATTGATCTTTTTAGACTGTCTCTCAGTGACGTAGCGCACTTCGATAAATCATATTTTACAATACATAATTCCCTGGTCTATTAGTGTCTGTATACTATAACAATTAACAAATTCATGTACCCTAGTGAATTAAATGTAACTTACCGTCTTCAGAAATTACATGACTGTTGTATATTCCTTTACTAGTGAATTTGGTTGATTTTTCAGGCCTCCAAAGTTGCGTCAATACAATATATTGTTTGGGAGTATAATTACAACACGGCAATTCTCGTTACTCGAGATTTCCCGATGCACAGCTGGTAGTCTCGTGACCTAGCTGCGCGTGACCAAGCGTAACCTACACACGTAAAAACGCACAAGTTGTAACAAACCTGCAACAGACTTGCACCAATGCTGTTCCAACAACTTGTCAACAGGATGTGGCGCACTAGTACTGCTTGTTCCCAGCTTGTTGACAAGTTGCCAACGGCTAGTTGACAAGATACTACAAGGTAGTTTAGCTCAATAGACTTGTTACAAGTTGTTTCAACAACTTGTTATCGTCCTGCAATTCAATAACTTGTGACCAAGTTGTGAGTGACAACCTTGTAGCAACCTGATAAAATAACAGATTGCTACAACTTCTTGACAAGCTTGCTACAAGCCTGTTGCGAACATATCTTGTTGCCAACATATCTTGTTGCCAACATATCTTGTTGCCAACATATCTTGTTGCCAAGTGTGTAAACACGTAAATAACGCACAAGTTGTCACAGGTCTGCAAACAAGTTGTTACAAATATGTTCACAAGCTGTCGACAAGTTGTCTTCACGCACAGCTTGTTCCCAGTTGTTGTAACAAATTTGGAACAAGCTGTTAACAACTTCTAACGAGCTTGATGGCATTATCAGACTTGTAGCAAAAGTTGTTCTAACAAGTCTGATACAGTCATGATATAACAAGAATGTTACAAGAATCATGTTTCGCATTATTACAAAGCCCAGTAGAATTGTAATCAGGACCCAACGTTTCGAAACTCCAGTCTAGTGTCTTCATCAGGGGTGATCTAAAGTTGCAATCATGGCTTCTTAAATACCCAAGGAATAACGTCACCTGCCAATGAGATGCGTGTATTCCTCTGGCAAATAGACACCGTCGTCCCTATTCAAAGCATGATTACTCATATTTATATGCCACACTTCTAAGCATAATCTTTGACCATAGCGATTGTTTGTGGTAATTACTTTGGAGTTTTCCCACGCAATCTCGTGTTGGTGTCATACACATGTTCGGCTAAAGCTGATTTTCTCTTGTCTAAAGTTAATACAGCCTTTTGATGTTTTTTAGCCGTGTACCAAACTGGCGCTTAGACTGACCGAAATACTCATTCTCGCAGTCACCGCATGGTGAGGATGAGTTTGAGTTTTCTGATTTGTTTTAACAGGATCTTTTGGCTTCGAAAAAATATGGTCTAAAGTCAAATAGGGATTTAAGGCCATCTTAATATTACAATAATTATTTAAGATTCTTTTCATTGGTTCTGTGACACCACGAATGTATGGAACTATTGCATAACCTTTAGCAGGGGTATCACCCTCGGAGTTGGTAACTACCATGAATTTAGGGACGTAGTTATCATTTTGGCGTTTGACGATACTTTTCATGATGAGCGCGTCCTCCAGTGATATGTATAGGTCAGACTGCTTTGATGTGTTCAATGCTATGCACTGAGCTACGAGGCCAAGTATCCCAAAGGTTACGGGTTTGATTCCCACCGTGGTCAGGCTAACTTTTCAGCTTGCCCGGTGTGGATATACACTCATATATTCACCTGAGCACATAACATCAAAACACACACAAAAGATAATAATTATATCGTTGGGGTTATAATTACAACACAGAATACAACCAGGGCGTCTATATAACAACACAGTTGATACCGCATAGCTGTACCCACGTGACCTGCGCGTGTACTTACCAAGACAGCCTGCTAGCAGGCTAAATATCAGAATTTGGGGCATCTTATTCGATAGAAATGTAGATGTTAAAGGGTAAATTTTGCACTTCGAAATTTCGCGTGCAAATTCTATACAGTTTTAGACCTAACCAGGTACAGCTGCCAAAAGGCAACAAAAGCCCTGTGGCAGGAATGGAAACTATGAATGGAACTTGCGGCCACGCGATTCCGGTGCAGCGCTCTAACTAAGTGAGCTACAGAGTCTAGACTGTCGAATTTTAACCGCAGATATCCATGTCATTATATCTATTTCGCGTATTCTTTCCTCCTCGAAAACTACTGTGACGCCGGGATGATTTCTCCCTGGGTTCCGCGATATTTGTCGATGACCCTGTTTATCATCGTAAGGCTACGGCTTTATATGATCTTGATATTTCTACCAGAAACGATGTGCCTACGAGTCTATGATTATACAATAATTGTTTATTAACCATTCTTGAAAAATATTCACAACCGATAATTATTCTAATCTACAAGCAATATTATGCTAGAACTAATTCTAAGTATCTAAAGGTCATTATTGTTCAGTCTTCGTTGTTCTTCTTTGTTTTCTAAATTGTATGAAATACGCAGTATACATAGTTCGATATAGTCTACAGGTTGTGTACGTGTTCCTAAATTTAACCACACCATGACTTGTGAGCGTTATACTTCGAGAAAACGTTCTTCCCAAATATTTACTCCTGCCAAGAATTATGAAATGCTTATACTCGTAAGCATTAATATCTGTAAATGTCAACATAATGTAACAGTTCACTGGCTTACATACAGGAACACCAAATCCGTAGTCTTGCGATCCTAAGTGAGACCAAGTCAAATAATATAGTTCAAACCGTTCCTAGGTTCCACGCCTCTGGATGTTCTCAAGCGCGAAATCTGTTTCAAAGTCTTAACGTCTTTTACCATAATTTCGGAACCGACCGCTCATTACTGCTCCTTTCATTCAACAACACCACTTTCGTTTTTATTCTTCGATATGAATGACTTTACTTTCATACTTAACATATTGTTTATTGTTTGTGTTCAAATGTTCAACAAATGATGCACCGCAATGTTCAAAAATCATACCAAGTATACCATAGCTTGTGGAAAGTAAACATTACCATTCCTCGCACGCATGTCATGCACGTTGTTGACGTTAATTATCCAATCGAATCTTCAACAAATATATGTCACGCATTATGCTACACGTACCAATGTATCTACATGAACGCATCAAAGGTGGTAGATGCAACCGACGGATACAGGAACGATTCGTAAAACGCGAATAATTTCAACAATGACAACAGGATCTTTCGAGACGATAGTGTCTTAGCGCAGGTATTTCTTGTGGCTTTACAGCACAATGTTTTTAAGTAATCTTGTGTATTGTTTGGCTTTCATAAATAATCATTTTTCACAGAAGATCAACTCCATTATTCACGTATATAATTCACATTGTCATCACAAGCTTTAAAATCCATTATTTTGCATATCATTCAACAAATATATATCACGCACGTCATTACCATATCCGTTGTATAATGACACGATACAGGAACTTTTCGTAAAGGCGTAGATTTTCAATGATGTCAACACTACACGCTTTTATCTAAACGACTCACGAATCGTGCTCACGATCTTTCGACCTGCTCATCAATTTCTTTTTGACTTTACAGTACAGTACGACGTATTCAAGTAACCATATTCATTGTTCACTATTACTTCCACACAAACAAACTACAACAAGCTTATGGAAGATACCATTACCATTATTATTCCAGTATATCAGTTGCATGATTATGATCAGAAATTTTCAAATCCAGCTGCATGAATCACCAATACACATATACCGCGTATTAATCTCACAAATGATGAAATAGTAATATATACAGCAACGGCTCGTAAAAGCCAACGTATACTAACTTTCAACGATGACAACATTGCAGCTTTTGTCCAAGTAAATCACTCACAGTCTAATTTCGAGACGGTCATAATATTTCTTGTGGTTTTATAGCACAATGTTTTTAAGTCCATATGTTTATCCCAGTATTGAAAGCTTCTTCAAACTTCGCGTTGAAGCTTTGCCCAAACTGGCAAAGCAACAATTACAATATTTTTTACTAAATTCCAATAAGCCAGTTTGGCATAACAATACTGCGCATCCAACTGAGTCGGGTAAATATTTTAAAACTAAATTATGTTTTTCACTTTAACCGTATATCGTACTAAAGCGTAGCTGTATATTTTTGTTATTCTGAGTAACTAATAAGTTCAACAGAAAAGAAAATGCTCTACAGTACGTTACGATATGGTGAAGTGAAAAACAGGCTTAAGCTTTAATGAGAAGCTGTGGATTGAGAAGGATACAAAAGGATATAACATCGAAGTTCTGCTTGTATTTTTCAGGTAGTTATATCCCCCTCAATCCACAGTTGTCTTGTTATCGTCGCTACCTTCAGTGACACAAACAGTTCCAGATTAAGTTTTGATGTTTTAATTACGGAAATATTTTTTTTAGAAAAAGAAAAAGTTTTTAGACGATTGACTTGCTTCACTGTTACAAAAATATTCCCGAAAGAACACTTTCATTTTTTGGCTTTAGACAGAAAAACAGTCAATAAAGTTTATTATAGGAAATGAATTAAATATACAGTTTCATTGTTTCTTTTATGTAGAATATTAGTCATTGAATATTAAAAAAGAAAAGAAAAGTCTAGTCTCAGCTAGATTTTATGTGTTCATTTATTCCCAACTCAGAACACGTCATTTGGATACACAATCAAAATGTCGAACTGGCTTATTGGATTCGACTAAATTGCATGTTTTTAACTTTTCCATGATGTATTGATAATTAGAAAAACCTCATTGTCAAAATTGGGGCTCTTTTCTTCATCCTTTTGTTTCATTTATTTACTTTATTTTACTAACTACCCAAATGTACTATATGAACAACTGTGTAACATAATTCTTTCTAACTTACAGTCATTGTCTTCTAATGTGGCAAGAATGTTATTTTATTTAATATATGAAGGAAGACAGTTCTTTTTCAGTGTTGCTTTGAGAATGTTATAAGACTTAATAACGCCATAATTTTTTATATTGTGTAAGAGGACCATTCCATGCACAATAGACCTCTTACCCTGTTTACGTTTCAAGCAGACAAAAGTCACTCAAAACCACCCACGAATGAGAACTTTTTCATCGTGAAATGTATTTATTACTCGTTATCTAAACCATGTCTCTTTACTTTTAGCTTTTATCGGCAAATACATGCCCTTTGCTGGACTATAAAATCATTAATTTTTGAAAGCGCAAAAAACATTCATCAGGAATGAAATAAACTTTAACACTTCAAAACCGCACGTGATACTTCATGATGAATTAGTTGCATGAATCTTGTTTTCTGGGTACAAAAACGTTTTTATTTTCGTTATTTTGAGTGGAAATCTTGTGGTAGCACATTTTCTTTGATATTTTAGATCTAAGCTCGACCCATTCGTTTCTTGATGAAAAACATTTATACAACTGGAACCTGTCCGCGAGGAAATGTAAACAAGGTAAGGAATCGATAATGTTGATTATAACTGTGTAGGTTGTTTCGTTCTCCTAAAAACCCACACATTTTAATCTTGATCAAACTTTGGTAATTCATAGAGGAACGAAGCTGTCCTGTACAATATATGAAGTAAGAGCCTCAATTACAGTAGCATCAAGTAGCAATGATAACGATTTTTCAAGGTGCTGAAGACAATAAATTTAAACAAGATTTTTATCCACCGCCAAAGGCATTTCACAAAGTCGTGCTAAAATATCTGAAATCCCGTCGTTTATATCGATACCATATGCCGTATTGAATGTAAATTTAAGAATTTATGCATGTC